GCCCTCTCCCCGCGCTCGGCCGTGGCTACCCACCGCGGCTCCGGCTTTTCTGAGGAAAACGGCAGATAGCGTCCCACATCCGTGCGTTTGCTGCCGAAAGATGAGCAGCCAGCCCTGCAGGCTCAGCTGTGTGGGGATAAGGTTTGTGCAGGCAGCAGCTGTTATGTTAGATGGGCATCATGAAGGTAGATCCATTTGTCCGTGTCCTTGAAAGCCCGGCCTCCTGGCTGGAATATCGAGCGTCCTGCGCTCACGGACCCCCCTGAGCAGGGAGTTGGACCAAGCCATCTCCAGAAGGTCCTCCCAACCTCACTTGTGCTTCTGCAATATGATGTTTATGACGAGCTACACCTTTGGGTTTTCCTTGGGATTATCCTTGCGCTCAGGGGCTCCCTCTGGGAGTTCCTCTAAGCTGATTAGAGGAAACACTTCCATAGTGTTTCTGATGACGAGATCCCGAAGGATTGGCCATCCCTTAACTGCAGGAACGCCAGTGTCTGCTCGGCAGGAGCATCCTCTGCCCACATGGGACCTGATGCTGCTAAATGGCAGCAAGGAAGGGAAATCACATCCTTGTTACACAGCAGTGACCTAGGAATTAACCTGGGTAGTTCTCACATGATTTTTCTCCTGCATAGCTAGGGCAGTAAAACCCTTGAATTACTTCAGAGAACAAACTCAGCCTTCAGTTTTCAACATAGTCTAAGGCTCGGTGGCCAGAGGCATTTTAGAGTTTTGTTTTAGGCAAGCAGGTTTAATTTTTTTCTAGTTTCTGTTCTTAAATTATTCACCACAAAAGTTCTTTCATTGGAAAAAATTTGGTATTATAAAGTGCAGAGATCAATGGATGATGGAAACTGCTATACGGAATAACTAGACTTTCCACCCCCTTCACATATTTCTTTTATGCAACTCCATTTGTGTACAAAGGGAAAAACCTGAGCTGCTCTTGGGACACGAGGACATGTCGTGTCCCGCCAGGCCCTGCTGCAGGCCCAGGAAGGAGGGTCACCACGTGCGGACCCTTCACCCCTCACAAACGGTAGTGAAACAACACGGTGGAAGCCGGTAATGTGAACAGTTTAATACTGTTATTAATTCAGTGTTTTTGAATGATAAATTAGACTTTCAAACACCGGATTAACAGTCTTAATATGTCTAATAAGAACCTTGCTTCTAATAGGAATGAACAGAGTTGAAAAATCAAGCTGGGAAGAAAAGATGGGATTTAAAATTTAATTAATTTTAAGCTCTGAAACTTAGATCCTGAACTTAATAATTTAAGCTCAAAGGGAGACCACTTTTGACCATCAGATTTGGATGCTTTAACTCCCCTCTCTCCCTTAGACTTTAAATGCTTACAGATAAAACAGCTCAAAAATCACCGTATTTTTTACAGGAGTGAAGTTGCTTTTAGCAGGATAGGAATCTTTGAAGTTGTCCTTGCCTTGATTTTTCTAGGGAACAAAAATATTTTGAATCTCGAAACTAATACTCCTGAAGCAATCTTGGTTTGATTATTGCTCTGGCAAGTCCATAGGCTTGCTGCTTTTGTATAGGAATTGCTTTGGGCAAGAGCTGGTGCGTAGCCACAGGAATAAGCGTAACATGTATATTTTCTGTGGCTTAGTGCAGCACAAAATATTTATGATCCTTTATCTTGTTACATCATTTATAAAGTAATTTTTGGCAAGACCCCATCCAAAAGCAGGGAAGCATTAGCCTCTGCTCACGTTCTGATCTCCAGTTTGCCAGCCAGTGATAGCTCCTAAATTTGCTCCCTTTTAAAGGGAAACCATTCGAATACCCGACGTGAATGTGATTTGTGCTGGGAAGGCTGCTCAGAGGTGACGTTTTGTTGTTTCTGTCGGTTTGGATCTTGGAGAAGGGTCCCTGCATAGGGCTGCAGGAGGTGTCTCCTCCTCAGCAGGTGGCATTTGCCCTTCTGCTCCCACATCTTGACCTGGGGTACCTCAAGGAGAAGTGTTTTTCTCTCCCCTTTGTTCTTACGGATTTAGGACTGCCTGCAGTGCTGCTTACTGTGGAGCTGCGGCATCAGGGTGTCACCAGTTTCACCCTATTAACTCTTCTAAAAAAGCTAAAAGACCCAGAAAACGTAGTCAGAGAGAGACGTGGCTGCACGACCGCATTTTTCCTTGCACATGGGCCTGGGTGCTTCCTGCCGGCCTCGGGGCTTCCCTTCCTTTTCGCCGGTGTTTCTCTTCCCCGGATCGCTGCTCCCGGAGCAGCCCCGTCCCTCGTGCCCCAGCGCTCGGCTGCGGCCCGGGGCTCCCGTCTCCTTCCTTGCCCTGCTGTTTGCAGCTGGCTGATCCCAAGGAGAGCAGCCCCAGAGCGGCCCTTGCTCCCGTGTTCCTGGCTGTGCGGGGAAGTTGTGCCTGTTACGGGCTGTGTACAAAGGACTCGAGGGGTTTGTGCACGTGGGTGAGGGAGCTGCAGCTCTGGCCTCTGTCACCCTCTGCTCGTGGGGCCGGAGAGCAGAGACCCTGGTAGGGCTCCCGTCCATGTCCTTCGCTTTCTTCCTCACAGCAGTTTGGGAATAAGGACCTGTCTAAATAATTCCACCTTTCTGTGAGCAGCATGGTGAGGATCAGGTGTCAATTAAAAGCTTAATCTCCAATTAAAAAAGAAAGTCATGCAAAAGATAACTTTATGATATTTCAAAGTAGCAGTAAGAGTCAAAAGCAGTAGCAAGTGTCCAGGAACATACTCTCACCAGCATCTCTCATGTGGAAAACAGTGAGGTACTGAACGTGCTTCACCCATCGTGATGGGGCTTTGCATCCTCAGACAAACATCATCTGCACTGGGGTGACCTGAGCAAGGTAACTAGTTTCTTAACCATAAGACTGAGTCACTGGAGGAGGGAAAAACTCCTCCCCGTGGGAATGGTGCAGTCCTGGGAATGGTCCCCGGAGAGGTCCCAGTCCTTGGACGTGTCCCGGGTCCCTCTGACTTGCCCTGACCTGGAAGGTGGCTGAGCTGGCAGGTTCTTGCCTGGTTGAGGCTTTTTGGAGGTGCCTTCACTACTTAATTTCTTTGACTAAAATCATGGAAACTGCTCGTGGTTTTGAGTCAGTATGCGTAAGAATCTAAAAATATTTGATTGCATTTGACACTTCAGGCTCTCACCGAAATTATTTTGTGTGCTTTTAGAATTGATACTTAGTTCTCTCCTTGGAAAAGAAAATCGCTATTATACTGTTTGAAAAGCATTGCTGGTGAGCGATTACAAAATTAATATGAAGTTCTTAGGCCCATAATAGTGTTTCACAAGGTACCAGAAAACTCATATTCCAACATAGTACTCGGACTTGTCAGTCGGACTTTGCATTCAGGTAGATACAGCTGCTGTCTAGGCAATAAAGAGGGCATGTTATAGCCATGAGAGTGTGGGGACCTGGATGTTCTGTCTAGGGGAGGTCATGGGACCTGGTGTTGGCCTCAGGATGAGCTGTGGCAACGTCTGCTGCTTTCTGGCCTCTTGGAGTAAAGAGAAGCACCTGTGTGTGCATCCTGCCAGTGCCCCATGGTGTGCTTTTGCTGAGGAAACGGGGCTTTTGTGGCTCGTTGTTGTATTTTTTCTTCTTTGATATGTTGTAGGTTGTCCCTTGTTTCATCTATTCTTGTGAACTAATTGACAATGTGGGACTGATGCTCCCTGGGACTCTGGTTGCTCCGTGTGTGTCGCACCTCCTGCTGCCCTCACTGGTGGCTTTTGGGCAAATATGTGTATTTTTTTCCTAAATTTCCAAGTTAACACCATTCCTTTTCTCCCTCTGCATGTACATGCTATTTTTCTGTCTTTTAATAAATCCCAGAGTTGAGTTTGCATATGCCAGATTCTAGAACCAGTAGCCAGTCCAATTGGTTTGATCGTCCTCTGTCCCCGGGTTTCTTGGTTAATGAACACGGCCCTTGTTCTGTGTTTGGCAATAGCAACGCACAGTTTGTGTCCACCAAAAGTGTATGGATTCTTCTTGCTTCTAGCTTTTCATACAGTCTGTGATTTAACTTCTGCATTTTCTATGAAATCTGATGTCTGTCCACACTTTAAAGGAAGCAACAGAAAGGGTTACAAAGTGGATGTCTGGTTGTGTGCAAAGCTGGTGCTGATGCACAAGCACATTCCAAAGATATAGAAAAGGTAGGAATGTTCAAAAACTTACCCTGTGTAGGACTGAACTTAGAGTTTTCATCTTTACTAATTATTAAGCTTATCTAAGTACTTCTATTTTAAACGCACAGAAAAAATGTAGATTATAGTCATTGTGTTTCATTTTCACTCTTTTGCATTAATTTAGCAGTAACATCTGTTCCAAATGTGGAATGCTAATGGGAAAGAAAATAGCAATTATTTTCTTTGGCAGAGAATAAACTTTAAAATTTAGGGTGCCTTTAGATTTTTCTAGAAGCTTCCTTTTTGAGAAATAAGTACATATTTTTTTGGATCTGACTTCTGGCAGTACAGTTAGGAAATGTGTTGGAAATTGCTTTGGAATGTGTTACTTTGCAAAACATAAATGGGCAATGTGAATTAGGAAGACTGAGTGAAGTTAAGACAAAAATAGGTATATATGATATTGCAGTTAATAATTATCTTCTGATACGCTCCTGATAATGTCTGTTGAATTATTTTTTACAGTAAGGAGTTTTCTTACAGACTAGCTGCGAATATTGGTTAGTATGAGAGAAGAGATGGTGCTTCCCATGCAGCAGCTCAGCATCTTTGCAGAGATGAACTTTAGCCACTTGTTCTTTACCGAGGAAGCTTCTGCTCTGTGACCCTTCCTGCCTGATCTAGAAGGCAGAGGACAAAGCCCCTCTCTAAATAAGTAACCGAGGTGGGAGGTGGTTGTGTCCCAGCAGGGTTGGAGGGGGATTCCTCCTCGTTGATAACCTTGCACATTTTGCACAGCACTGATAACAAGTTTTGCTTCCTTTGCGGTCTTTCAGGCACTGCACTGATCTTTGCCTTGAACGCGGTGCAGCTGCTGCTTCAGAGGAGGCACTGCCGGAATTTGTGGCTTTAGAAACATGGAATTTCATTGCCCCAAGAATGTTTCTACTTCCTTTTCCAGAAGTGGATCGCATAGGTGCAGTTAGGTTGGTTCTGCACACGTGATGTGAGCTCTGCTTTTATGGAGCAGTTGATAACACGAGCCTTGTCTTGTTCCATCTGCATTGCCTCATTCCATCCACACTTAAGAGGTCTTCTCCTATCTCCTGTAGGAGAGATAATGTGTTTTGGCTCTTCTTCCTAAAGAAGACTTGAATATATTGGCTGGATTTCAGAGAGGCCTGTTTAAACTAGGATAATGCAGATCTAAATTGAGAGTATTTCCACCTCAGCTGAGTAAAATCTAAAAAAATGTGTATGTTGCATACATGCATGAGAATTGTATCTCAGCATCCTGGGCTGGCTTTGCTGAGATTCGTAGCTAGGGAACCCTTAGTTAAATGGTGGTTATCTTTATGCAGATGTGTGTGTGTATATATATATGTGTATATATATATATATATATATATATATATGATGTATAGAATATATATGTATATGTAATATATATATATATATATATATATATATTTATAATAAATATTTATCTCTATTCTCACATATATATATATATTTTATACATAATATATATATATATATATATATATATATATATATATATATATATATATATATATATATATATATATATATATATATATATATATATAAAGTTATATATATATAAAACAAATGTATTGTTATATTTATATATATATATAAAACACTAATATATTAGATTTCAAGCAGTTACCTTCTGGGCTTGTCTTCCTCTCTGGGCTCTGACCAGGTGACCCAAATGTAGATTGAAAGTGTTTGGTCATATCTGCAATTCAGGGGCTAAGTCATAAGCTAAGGTATTTTCAAAAAGGGTTCCTGTGTATCTTGGTATTGTATAAAGCAACGGTTTTGAGGCCAGGACATGTTTGACAAGGCTTTTCCTTTTTTGTTTTGAAATGATCCTGTTATGTGTGGAAAGGCAGCTGAATTATAACTTAAAAAAAAAAAAGTCCAGATAAGTTTTAACATCAGTGTATGATTATTTCTTAGTGTTCAAAGCTCAGGTCACTCCAGTCTTGTTCTGTGCTTGATGATGGAGTTATTTGACTACGTGGCAGAGTCACTGCCAAAGACAAGAAGATTTCAAGCAGTTACCTTCTGGGCTTGTCTTCCTCTCTGGGCTCTGACCAGGTGACCCAAATGTAGATTGAAAGTGTTTGGTCATATCTGCAATTCAGGGGCTAAGTCATAAGCTAAGGTATTTTCAAAAAGGGTTCCTGTGTATCTTGGTATTGTATAAAGCAACGGTTTTGAGGCCAGGACATGTTGGACAAGGCTTTTCCTTTTTTGTTTTGAAATGATCCTGTTATGTGTGGAAAGGCAGCTGAATTATAACTTAAAAAAAAAAAAGTCCAGATAAGTTTTAACATCAGTGTATGATTATTTCTTAGTGTTCAAAGCTCAGGTCACTCCAGTCTTGTTCTGTGCTTGATGATGGAGTTATTTGACTACGTGGCAGAGTCACTGCCAAAGACAAGAGCCGTCGCAGCAGCGGTGGTGACCGCGTCCCTAGGAGTTAGGGGGGATGCACGAGTTGCCTTTCCCTTTGACGTCAAGCTGGGGATTCATCTCCTGGGATTGAAATCTGGGGTCTTCCCAGCATCCTGAAAGGCATCTTCCCAGCCACCAGCATCGTGGTAAAAGGTGTATGCAAAAAGCAAAGCCTGATCTTCCTTATTTTAATGGTCAGCAAAACCTGGGTAGCCATGTGCTTATGAATATAATGTTCATTAATGCTCATCTTGCCCTGTCCTTCTGTTAAGGGCTTTGCACAGCAGGATTAAGGCTGCTTTACCTGACTTTCCGATTTTCTTCCATTTGAATTTTCCTCTAAAAATAGTTTTGTTTCCAGGTTGCTGTATTTGCTGCAGCAGGAGAGCTCCAGCACGGAGCTGAGGACCGAGTGTGCCGTGGTGCTCGGGAGCCTCGCCATGGGCACGGAGAACAACGTCAAATCCCTGCTGGACTGCCATATTATCCCTGCCTTACTGCAAGGTACTTCTCACCTGCTGCAGTCTGTTTCAGTGAAGGTTTCTAAAATATGCAAGTAAGCAAAGATAACAAAACTGAGCAGGATTTCTGTGTGTATTTGTAGGATTATTGTCGCCAGATTTGAAGTTCATCGAAGCTTGCCTCCGATGTCTCCGTACTGTTTTTATCAGTCCTGTGACTCCAGAGGATCTGCTGTACACAGTAAGTTGTAAGCAGCTCGTTCTGACCTTTCCTTTAGACTGCTGTGTATGCAGCAAGGGGTGGGTGGCAGTGACAGGTCCTGCTGCAGTTAGTAGTAATAGGCAGGACTTGTTTCACCAACAACGTCAGCATTTTCACCTAAACTCAAGGCATCTGAGTTGCAAATGTTTGTAGTATTTTTTGATATGAGGTGGTCTTGTGGGTACTTTGACTTCATAGTTTCTCTACAGTTGAGGAGCATCATTGCCCAATCCAGGAATGTTGTTACCCACCATTACAGCTTGGCATTAACGACCCTCAACAAACGCTCGGGTCTGTCCAGTCCTTACTCATGCTGTGGTGATGACTGTTTTGTTCTCTGATCTTCCCCTTTGGCTCCTTACACTTCTTTCCTGAGCAGCAATAGCTGTTAGAGCTGAGTAGCCAAAGTTATTCTCCATCGACTTGATTTTTAACATACATCTATTGTGATTTTCACCTACTAGTTGGTCTATTTTTGAAGTTCTTCTGCAGGTATTCACGTTGGACCATATTTTTTAGTACATATAATTTATCAGCAAGTTTTGTGTTGTCACTGGTCACTGACTTTTTCCAGGCAATTTCCGGGTGTAATGTAGATCGGGGGAAGAGAGGGGGAAAATAAGGCGCCTCTTTTGCTGAGTGATTTGGGAATTTCTTCTTGGTCTGGCTATTCCTTTGACTCTACTTTCAGCTCCCAGACTGATATTATTTATATGCAGTGTGAATCCTGACCACATCTGATGCCCCGTATAGGCCTGTGAGAGCTCCTAACTGTAAGAACATCTCTTTCCTGATCCCAGCACCCAGAGCTGGGTTTAAGATGATCATCTCCATTAACAATCCTTTCTCAACAGAGACTATTAAATGTTCCTTGTGGGCACAGCTACAAAGTCCTTAACTTGCAGGTGTCCAACTGGAGTTGGAATTAGTGAACAAGGGCACATTCTCACCAGGTGAGAGTTTCTTCTAGCTATGGTTCACTGAGGGCTCTAACATTTCCCTGCATAAGGAATGGGATTCTTTGACACCTCTGTACATAATTGTGAGTTTTCCCTTTCCCTTCAGGATATGAGACACCTCCTCCAAACAAGGACTTTGTGTCTGTGCCCAAGGACATTTTTCTGGGAAGGCTTCCCTTGGGCTTCTCTTGTGGGAATACCCAAGCCCATGCTTTGGAAAGTAATAAACACAAATCCTTTGAAAAAGCTTTCTTGATACTCCTTGGGAAGCGCAGTCAGAAGCTTCACTACTGCAATATGTTTCCTAATGCAGCAATGAAAAAGTTATTTGCAATCGGTGAAATCATTATGGCCCTAACCAGCACTTCATAACCCGCTGCTCGTCCAGCTTTGAGAGCAATAGGCAGAACTTAAGAGTTCTTCTTTAGCCGTGTTATTCCTTATTTTTTGGCTTGTCAGCATCTTCAGGCACTCTTTGGCTGTGTGAAGAGCTTACTCGATAGCCTGTCTGCCTCTGCCTGAACGGGGAGTCCATCAGAGCACCGGTGGCTTTTCAGTTTTGCCTAGTGGTTCTGGGGAAGACTTCTGGAAAACTGGTTCCCAAGTTGCAACTTGGAGGGAAGCTTTTATGCTGGAGTTTTCCCTTTGCCTTTAGTCTTTCATACAGGGAATGCTACCCCTAAAACTTTGCCATTGGCTATTCCAAGGAGAAGATGCTATTTATTGTCTCCGGAGACATTACAGTAGCTCTGGAGGGCCTATAATTTCAGAGGGCCTCTTTCCAGATGTTTAAGATACACGAGTGCTTTAAGGAGAGCTGTGTGAAGGACCTTGAGAATAAACAAGTAAGTTTTCCCTGGAAGGGAGCAAACTTCAGCCCCGAGAGCCAGACGGTGGCCACTGCCCCCGGGGCTGGCCTGGAGCGAGCGCCCGCTCCGTAGCCGAGACGCGGATCCGCGTGCATCCGCGTGGGATGGAACCGCGCACGGAGCGGAAGCGCTCAGCGGCAGGGAACGAGCTTGACCCGGCTGCTCTGCAGGTTTAAACCCACTGTCTTCACACCCACCGCTGCTGTGTGCAGTGCCAGACCTGCCTCCAAGTACAGGGCAATTAGTGAAGCTGCCACTTCAATCTACTGCTGAATATACACGAGTGGGTTGGCAAAAACAGAGCTGCCTCCAAGTAACTTGAGTTCTTTGAAAAATGCAGCAGGTAGGCATGTGAAATTAATTCCAGCTTCCTCCCAGTTTTCCTCGGTGCGCTAGCTGGAATATCAGCCCGTAGGGACTTGGCAGCAGAAGGGTGGCACAGGGTTGGCAGGAACCTTTCTAAATGTCCGGGTACCCTTTACAGATGAGCTGGGTCTTAGCATATTCTCTTGGGTAGAATATCTTTTCAAATTTGTGTCAGAAAACGTGCTTGCTTCTCAAGCTTTCAGGTTAATTTTGATAGAAAGCTTGCCTTCTTGCACTTTTTACAAACTTCAACACTTTCTTCACTAGTGAAGATTATTTTTGTGTATTTTTATTGAAATCTAGTTTCCATAAGCAGTTCAGACAGTTATCAAGTTAAAAATCCTAATTTATTGCTGCAGAACCTGGGCAAACAGGGGTTTCCTCCCATCCGAGGATTACTGTGCAAGTGCAATATCCTTTCTGGTTTGCTCCTCACTTCCTCTTCTGCTGTGGTGGGTGCCAGGCTGGACACTGCTCTGGGCATCATCTCTGCTTGCTGCAGGAGGGAGATAAAACTCCAATTTATGGGGCAGTTGAGTCCTGAGTAGGGATCGGACCAGCCTGTCTGCAGGTTAGTAATTGCCTCTGATAGGTATATTTATTCAGATGGTATCTGCTATTGCCCTAATCAATTCCTAGTGGGCAGCTGGTCTTTGGAGCTGAGAAGTTATTGACGGACTTAATTCTATGTATAAATGTGCAAAATCGGATGGAGCTGCTGCAGAGCAGATGCTAGGGAAACTGCTGGACATCCAGGCACTGAGCCTCACTTTTCCCAAGCACATAAGTGTGCAATGAGCATTACACATGGCCAGTGTAGTTGGAAAAACTCCGGTGTGTGGTAACTTTCTCTCCATAAGATTGTGAAATGACAAATTAGCCTGTTCCACATTGATCCCTTCCAGCTATTGGGGAAAAGATATGATGTTTTAATTGGGGAAAATAAAACTTTGTGTTAAAAGCTTCATACTAGTGAGGCTGTAGTCATTGCCACCTTCTACCTGTCTATTGCTGCCTTCACTACACTTAAAAGTAACCAAAAGCTTTAAAATCTTGTCATTTGCTGACGTGGTGCAGAGCTTAGGTAGTACCTGGGAATGTTTTAATAAGAGAACTACGGGGTAAGGACTTTCTCCTGCCAGTGCCTGCACTGGGTTCTGTGTGGTTTGTATCATACACTGCTTTAGTTTGAGTCTGTGACTTAAAGGCACAGGAGAGTCTTGCCCTCCGCTTGCCAGTCACAAAGTTAGTGACAAATGGCCCGAAGCAGACTGTGCCTTGGGCCAGCCAGCACCTTCCTGCCCTGCCTGGGCCCTTCTGCTCCGAGACGAAGGGAGAGGTAAGGAAATCCCAGCTGGAGCAAGCAAGTGGTAAGGGAGTTGCTTTCAGTGACCGCTTTTGCAGTTACAAGTTTTTCCTTTGTTTTTGTTTTCTAACGCCAGCCTTTCAGGGCAAAACCTGCAAGTTCTAAACTTTTATTCATGAGAGTTGGTCCAACCTGTCATTTTTTTTTTCATTGGAGTTCCTCCTTCTACTTCCATGGTTTTATCCTGTATCCGCGCAAGTCTCCGGGGGAGGGAGAACCACCCGTTCTGTTCCGAAACACTTTATCTGCTAAGAACAGAGACTGTGTGAAACAAAGTGTTAATGCTGCTTTCTTTTCTGCCTTGTTTCCAGGATGCTACAGTTATCTCCCACCTCATGGCACTGCTCAGTAGGTCTCGATACACACAAGAATACATATGTCAGATCTTCTCACATTGCTGCAAAGTAAGAAAGAGAATGCATGTTCTCCGTGAGACTTCTTGCCTTTTCCAGCATATAGGAAACTGTATAAGACGAAGTTGCCTTTTGCATCTGGATCGTTAGGGCAGTGATTGCATTGCTCTTGTGCTGGTCTTGCTGATGGCTTTATTGGGGATAAGACATGTTTCTCTACAGTTAAGCAACATATGCAGAAGCCTGCTTTTGTATAGGGTGTATGTCTTGGACTCCCAAACCAAATCAACAATCTAGGCAAAGATGAATCCTCACTGTTGCCAGTGTAATTTTAGAAAAATCCTTTTATTCCCTTTGGAAGTCTCAGAATGGTTTGAGCATGTCTTTGCAGATGTCTTGTATCTGCTTCCAAACCAGCTATTTTAAGCCCAGAGGATGTTTTCTAAGAGGTGTTGTAGGTTGGGAAAGACAAAAATGTGTTTCTCAGTCCAACCCCACCAGCTACAGGTTAACGCAGATACCTGTTAATTCCTGCTACATAGCCCAATTTCCTGATGTGGTAAAACTTCTGCTAATTTAAAAACAGCAACTCCCCATCTTTATGCAAAGTCTTATGCCAGCAACGTTGTCATAAAGAAGAGTGAACACTAATGGGATTTGAATTAAAACATTGAATTAAAAAAGCCCATTTGAATTAAACATTGAAAAAAATGAATTAAAATGTCAAAACATTTGAATTAAAACATTTGAGTTAAAACATTGTCTGCTTCTTTAGGACCCCTCTTTAAGTTGAAAATTAAAGCAAGAAAGACACTGAAGCAGTGTTTCATTACCTGTTGTAATTGAAAAAGGAAAAAATCCATTAATTTCCTTTGGAGGGAGAAGTCACCCTGCGTGTCCGTGGGGCAAGGAGAGGTGGTGAAAACATGTGGATGAGGCAGTGGGAAAACAGTCAAGTGTGGGATTTGGGATTTGGGCCGGTTGTTCCCTCGTGGCACCTGCCTTATGACAAACACAGGGCTTGCACAGCAGGCGTAAAATAAGCATCTATCACTTGAAGAGAAGCATTTGCTCATGTTTATATGGGCCTTGCTAGTCTCCATAATAGGCTGGGTAGGTTGAACTGTTAAAAAAAAATGGCCTATGTTGGCATATTGACAAAAAACTAAGCCAGGCCTGAGTTGAAAGAGGTTTAGAAATGTGTTTATAGAGCCCGAGGCGAGCTGAGCGGAGGTGTAAACCAGGGGGGCTGCAGGGAAACTGCAGAGCTGCCCCGGGGAACCCACCCTGCCTGCAAAGGGAGCTCATCCGTTCGTTTTATTCCTCCTGTAGCTGCATTAACTCCTGCAGACTTGGGTATGAAGTGCATAGTTAACAAAGCAAGAGGCTGCTAACTTGAGGAGAGCAGAACAAGAAAGGTCCTCAGAACACATGATACCATCTTCAGCACGTCCATCACCAAGCAAAATGTTTAGTGATTGCTTGGAGAAATGCAAGCTGCTGTGCGGGGGGAAATGTTAGTGCTATGGACAGGTAGAAACACGAATGCCCGGGAAGAGGAAACTGCATGGGAATGAATAATGGGCAATAATTATATTTCTGGAATAGCCGTTAGCACCAAAATAAAGACGAATATTTAAGGTTGAGAGCAAAGAAAAACATCTGAAGTTGAGTGGACATCATTAAAAATCCCAAATTGAACAAGAACTCATTTCTGTCTTCTCCAATGCAGCTGTTGAGAGAAACCCTAAAACTCTCCCTCCTCTTTTTTACTTAATTTTGGGTTTCAAATCTGGTAACCAAGACCAAAGATGAGGTGCCGTTCCTTCAGATATAACAAAATACTTCTAAGAGTGAAGCAGAGGGTGCCTGGGAGGTTCTGATTTCCATGTATGTTCTTATCATGCACGTACTCCAGAAGGCCTCAGTGTTTGCAGCACTTCTGGTGAAGACCTGGTCTTCCAAAGACTGGTCGAGAGAACCTTTAACTCTTTTCCTGAAAAAATAGGTTAAGTTTTAGTAGTTAGCCTTAACTACTAGTAGCTAGTCTCTAGTAGTTAAGCCTTAACATATAGGAGATGCAGAAGCTTTTATTTTCTTTTCCCTCGTTTTAATATATTTTTGATTAAACCAATGGTGACGAACCACAGCTTTTGCTTTCCTTGTTCCTGCAGATTGCTGTCCCCTTGCTTCTCTTGCCTGTGTTTTTCCTTTTCCTGGCCTGACTTTCAGTTGGGTTGGGCTTCTCCAGTTCCCTTTTTCTCTCTCCTGTTCAAATTTCACTGAAAACTCAGCCTGTTTCCCATAGTTGGGATATCCTTTACTCAAGTTTTTAGCATATTGCTGCTGTTTTCTGCTTGTGCTGCATCTTTTGGCTGCTCTTCCCTACCTTTTTAGAGTAAAAATGGAAATGGTCAGTGAAGAACGTTGACCATGAAGGAAAATCATGCTTAAGCAAGGGAAAAGTATTGATTTACAGGAAAGTGGGTACAGAGAATTCTTTACATACCCAGACAGGACTCTGCTGCCACATAGCAAAGCTGAGTAAACCAAAAGCAGGTGAATGTGCAGTGTGGTTGAAAATAAAGTCCAAATTTGCTATTTAAGATTCTCGGTGTCGCAGTTGATTTGTTTTCAGAGGAAGTGATGTGAGTTGGTAAGCTTTACAGTTTAATAACAAAATGAAAAATATGAGGTTGTAGGAAGCACAGGGCTGTATGAATAATTCGAAGAGCTAGTGCTGGATACTATATTTGAATGTAGTGATATCTCTGCGTAATTATCATTCACCACAAACTGGAAGTGAAGCCCTCCCTTCCGGGGAAACTCCAGGATGCTGCCCGTAATCACGGCAGCTTCTTCCTAAGTCCCGTTTTCCTGTGTGATCCTAGGCTTGGTGCTGAATCCCTGAAGAAAGGTACATTTGTATTTAGAAATCTGTTTTGAAAACCTGATTATTGAATGAATTGTTATGTTTTTTTCTATCCTGCTGCTTTCTTGAAAATTGATTCTTTGTGGAGAAAATCCTACAAGAACTGTGATTCCTTTCTGAAGTAACACAGCTCTCAGTTATGTCTGGAGGAAAATACCCTTCTAATGGAACTGGCTGCCAGGCCTGTCAGTGTTTGACTGGGTTTAACATGAAGCAAAACAGAACCAAAATGCCCTGCTGTTACAGTGTACCGGAGGTGTTTGGGGTGGGAAGGGAACGTTACGTTCCCAAGTCTTGGTGTTGGTGTTTGCAGCTCGCCCCGTGCGTGGGGTGATGCTCCATCCCTCGTGTGCATCCACGGGGCTCTTTGCACAGAGTTACATTTGCAGCCCGTTAAAGATCTGGCCCCAAGTGTCTAGACGAATAATACTTGTGAGTAGCTAGAGCAATCTAGGTCTATATGGTTTTTTTTTTACTTTGATTTTATTCATCTTTTTCACGTATTCTAATATCTGTTCTTCAGCTCCAACACTGGCATAGCTGCGGCTTTAAATCATTGCCTCAGCCACTTCTGTGTGCCAATGTAAGTTGTTTTCCTCCTTCAACCATGCTATTTTAATTGCCTTTTTTTGGATAGAAAGCTCTTGGTGGCAGTAGCAGCTGAAGCATCTCTTAAAGCACCAGATATGTTACATCTAAAACTAATTTTCATGCCTTTTTTCTTTTTCCTGTGGCAGTAAAGGTTGGTCTGTGAATGTTCTTTGGAATTTAAAAGAAATCTAATTTCAATTGTGCATCAAATGGGAATTGTATATAAGGGCATATAGAGTTGTCCTTTACACCATAGCAGGTGGCCCCTGTTTTAATGCCAGTGAGACGTGAGAATGTGAAAGAGATTTGTAAATAAATCAGCTCAGATATCATCAAAAAACTATTGCAGGTTACAGGGCCAGTTAGGATTTCATGTTGTTCTCTGACCTCATGGAGCCTTGTCATACTACAGGAGTTCTGAGAGCTTTCTTCTGCAAAATTCAGTACTTGTGTTAATTCCAAATGCTTTTATTTATTTAAATATTGGTGTTTCATTGTTTTATTAAATCTAGAAGTCAATAAATGGGTGATGGCTGACTAGATTTGTGGTTAAATATGTTTGCAACTATAATACTCTGTGGGAGGAAAATGTGAGTCTGTTCTCAAGACACTGTCACATTCTGTCTGGAAACCGTTTTAGAACTAATTGTCTGTCTTCTGGAGCTAGAAGTGTTGGAAATGCTTAACACTACCAGTGAGAAAGGCATTTAATTCACTGGGGATCCTTTATATGATTTTGCAGAGAAAATCAGGATTTTTCCAGTAATTATTTCCAGTATGAAGAATAGGAAGCTAAGCACGCTAACAGCATTCTTTCATTTGTGAAAAATAATTTCACTCATTCTGCCTCTCATCTACCTATTTCTAGCCTAGAACTTTCTTTTGAGAAAAAGAGTGAAAATGGTTACAAAAAATGCTATAAAATAATGTACCTATTTAAATAAAAAATAAAATAAAATAAAACTAAGTATGATGACTCTGATTGCAAAAGTAGTTGTTAGTAAATCTACCTTTAATATTTGTTAAGTTGCAATTAACAGCCTTTTTTGTTTGTTTTTTTTCCTACTGGAAAACAAAAATGACCTGTTGTATTTTCCTTCGCAGGGTCCGGATCACCAAACCATCCTATTTAACCACGGAGCGGTGCAGAACATCGCCCATCTGTTAGTCTCCACCTCCTACAAAGTAAGGCATTAACATTTATACGTTTTGTATCAGCTGATGAAAATTATCTCAGTGAAGGAGGTAAAACCTAAGCACATGAACTAAAACTGTAAATCTGTGTACTGTGTATATCGTAGAATACATGTTGCTTTTATGTGCATATGGATTTTTATCAAAATGAGATGTATAGTTTGGAGTGTTCTGCGGAATTGAAACTCTGTAAATTAAAACAGAGTTGGTATTTTTGATCTGAATGAGAAGCAACACTCAATGCTGGTACTATTTGTCTTATTCTGAGTTATGTTTATTGTCAGCTTGAACTTTTCCTGATTTTTTGAACAGCTATTTTAAAATCAGGAGCTCAGAGCTCAGTAAAGTTCCGGTGCCAGTGCTGTACCCTCAAAGAAAGAAATTTCCATGCTAATTTTCATAAATGTCGTTAATAGAACAATATCTTTTAAAACACTTAGCTTCTAGCTAGGCTGTTGCTGTTCACCCTGGAAAACTTTCCCGCTCTCCTCCCAGCTTGCTTCCCTCTGGCAGGAATACAGCTCCTCAGCTGTGGTTCGACTCTCTTTAGGGCTTTTCAATACAGAATCTCTACTTCCTGCTGCTTTGAAAAATCCACTAAATTCATTAGATTTTGTGTGAAAAGTAAATGGAGGAGTTGTCAAATGAGGCTTTTGTTCTGAAGCCAGATGGTCTGCTAGCCTTTCCCCCAGCTAAGACTTCATTGCCACTCATGAGAGAGAACTTAATATCTGATCCCAGTCATGTCATAGAATTAATAAGCAGAAGTTTGATCTCTACAGTCATTGTCTACCACAGGACTTTGGTATTTCTGGGAGTTTTTGTTGGGGATAGGCTGGGGAGCTGAACCAGGCTTGCAGTTACCTCACACGCTTTCTTCAGTGGCAGGTATGGATTAGATTCTGTAGCTGGGAAGCAACAGCAGCAGCAAAAAAGGAGGTTATATCAACTTCAGACACTAAGGTGGCTGGGCAACCAGGAAGGTTTGTCTCACAAACCAGGGCTTAGTTTTGCCTTGGAGCAGGGAGATCCAGCATGAAGAGCATTGAGTCATTTGTGTGTAGGTGATGGCTGAGGTTGCATAATGGCAATAATGTTTATGGTACATAATAATGTTTATGGTACACATCCCTTGCAAGATCACCTTAGAGTCGGTTCAACTAGACTGTTCCTCTTAGATGTTTTATTAAACTAAACTTTAAAGAAGGTTTGGAAGTGCAAGTCCCAGTGCTGTGAGTTTCTGACTCCCTTGGGTACCTCAAAACAGTCCTTGAATAATAGTGGTTGCTGTTGGGAATCTGTGGAGCATCACGGCTGTGACGGGTATCTCTGACCCTCTGGTTCCACCTGCCAGGGACATCAGAAGAGTCAAGCTGCATCTCAAATACTTCCATCTGCCTTTTAACTATCCTCTAGATTTTACTGGTTATGCAGAGTTATTTCCTGTAAGCCTATGCAGTGTTATGGTCTCCTTGCTTTTAACTTAGTGGTTACACTTACGGTTCAAAAATTATGTTTTTGCACAGGTTCGAATGCAAGCATTGAAATGCTTCTCAGTTCTAGCCTTTGAAAACCCCCAGGTGTCAATGACTCTTGTAAATGGTAAGCATGAAGCACTGGTTGCTAATTGGACATTTGTTTCATTGCCCCATTGAACTGGAATCATTTTCTGAGCTCTCTCTCATTGTTTGCAGTGTTGGTTGATGGAGAATTGTTACCACAAATTTTCGTCAAGATGTTACAAAGGGACAAGCCTATTGAAATGCAGCTCACATCAGCCAAATGGTAATGTTCATCAGGAATTAGCGTGAAATAGTTCACAGTTTATTACTAACTTCTAACTGTTCCCTTTTTGCTTGTAAATTAATATAAATGATATCTAAAACCTTAAGAATAATGATATATACATTTTCTAATTTTTGAAGACATGTTTCTTGCCTAATAGTTTTTATAGCATAATATTCACTCTTTTCTATATGTAAACAGGAAAAAAATGTTACTGGGCAGCAATTTTATCAGGAATGTGTGCTTGAGCATGTTTTTTTTTTCATAAGCTGAACTGCAGCTTTTAATAATAGCTTGGATTTTTATGGCAAGATTGGCCATAACCTTTTCACAGTTAATCTTATGTTCTTACAGAGTCAACTAATAAAACATTATCATGTAATACAAGGTAATGTAATTGTTAAAATAGTGTCCTGAGGACTCACATCATGGACTAGGGCTGGGTTGTGTCGAGGATTATATGCAGCAAGATGAGAACAAATTGAAGAGCTAGACCCAAGGTTTCCATTAAAATAGATTTAAGCTTCTTGTGCTGGTGCAGCAGAATCGGTGCTACTAAATAATACTATATAGCGCTTAACTTTCCCCTTCAGCGTGGATACACTTTGGCAGGGTCAAATAAATAACATGTGACACAGTTGACCGTGTTTCGGAGCTGTAACACCAGGGTTACTAATTTCATAACTGGGAATTGATGCATTTTAAGGCCCTTTTCCATCTATTGTGTTGATAATGATGGGACAAATGATTTCAGATGGTTGAAGAAGAAAAAGATAATCTCTCACTGTGAACTTCTATCATCAAGCATAACTCCAGATGTCAATCACTAATATATTAATTGGTTTAGACTCCTTTAATTCTCTGTATTGAAGTCTCTCCCCAAGATGTTGCTGTCCTTATTTTTGGCCTGGAGCAGTTCTCTGCTGCAGTTCACTCACCGAAAGCTCTTGCCAGCCCAGCCTTGAGGTTCTGGGTTCTCTGCTGTGATTGATTCTGTGTTTCTTTGACAATGCAGGGAAGAGATGGAGAATTACAAATAAAAATAAAGCTATTAGAGATGCATCTTTTCTGGTGGTTTCAAAATATGAGTCGGTTGATGTCGTGAGTGTTCCCTGCATTCAGTGAAATAAAACTACTTACTGTTTAAGTGCTGGCCCATCCAGTGTGTACACTGGTGAACACTGCACCTGTATCTTAGGAAGGTTCTTGTTCATTTTATTTTCTGCCAGTTATAGGGGAGTTTTGTATCATGAGTTTTACACGCATAAATGTACTGAAGTGAACAGTATATTCGCGTGAGGTGTGTTTCACTGATACAGATTTTTCAGTGTCTTACCAACGTGCACAGAAAGCAGCGATGGGTGAATGTGTGTTTTGTTGTCCCGTTGCAGCCTTACTTCCATGTGCAGAGCTGGAGCGATACGGACAGACGATTCCTGCATCGTTCTCAAGGTGAGCAGCTGAGATGGTTTTCTGGGTAGCACAGAAAGTGCTCGTGAGGATCTGTCCCTTCTTTTATACCCCACATAGCCCTTTCTTTATATCCCATATAAAAAGTTTCAAAAAGTTTGTTATCCTGAAGATTTCAAAAGCACGAGGTTCTTCAGATGTTTACTCAAAAGTCATTTTCCTTATTTCCATTTGTGTCTTAAAGCTTTTACATCAATATGGCTCTTTTAAGAAACTTTAAGTAAAGAATCCTACCCGGAAATCTGTATCCCAGGTATAAGTATCCACGAGTTTGGCACATACCTGCCTTTGGTGTTTGTAGTTCAGTCATCATATGTAAGTAACCTGGAAACAACAGTCTTGGCTTGGTCTCTGTGTGCAGCTGGAGCACCAATTTCTCTTTCATCACTTTATTTCACAAGACTAGTCGTCACACTTGCACAACCTGCAAGTGGAGCCTGTTGTATGGGCAGACCATGTCCTGGGTTTCACAACACTTGTAGATTTGTCAGGGCATCGTTGCTTCATACTCAGGCTGGGGAGTTTTCATATAAACAAAAAATGATCAGGCTCATGCTGAAAGGCTGGGTTTGATCTTTATATCCTGCTAACTCCTAATGAAACTGACTCCCCAGGGCGCCACAGGAGTGTGATTCTCCTTCATAGTCACACTTCTCTACGTAGTCAGTGAAAGCTGCTGATGAAGAGGCCCATCAGCCAGAGACCGGGAACACTTGCACTGCTTCTTTCTCCTTGTTGTATTGAAGATTACTGTGGTGCTGAAGGAAGACAAGATGTTTTCTTCCTTTAATAGTTACAGAAGAGGAGTCTCGCAGGCTCGAAGCTTTCTTTGGTGTTTTTTATTTTTTAGAATCCCTCAGTGCAGAGGTCTGAAATTCATAAGGCCTGTGTTCCTGTAGTGAATCTAGCAGCTGGGTCTGACCAGCAATCGTCAAAGCAGTTACTGTCAGTATTCACTGGGCTTAGACCTAAAACCCGCTGGTTTTTGGCAGTAGTCACTTGTTGTCTCTGGTTGTGAGGCCTCTCCGTGGTGTTGGGCTCCTCTCTCGTGAACAGGCAACTGATGAGGCAGTGTGAGCACAGTGCCCCGAGCCCCTGGCACTGCGGAGAGCTGCGCTCGCTGCTTGGAGCAACAAATACCCTCACTGCTAAAGGCTACAGAAGGGACCAGGGAGTGTCCTCTGACTGTGGCCTGAGGGCTCCTGCAAATTTATATTTTAAATTGGAGAGCTGTCAGCAGAGTCTCTGTCCAGTAGTGTTCCTAAGGCCTACCTTGGGGCATGTCAGAGGAGGAGTATCATAGAATCACAGAATGCTCAAGGTTGAAAGGGACCTCTAGAGGTCACCTAGTCCAACCCCCCTGCACACGCAGGGTCACCTAGAGCACGTGGCACAGGGCTGTGTCCAAGCGGGTTTGAAGATCTCCAGAGAAGGAGACTCCACAACCTCTCTGGGCAGCCTGTTCCAGTTCTGGCACCCTCACTGTTAAGAAATTTTTCCTTAAGTTCCTGTGGAACTTTTGGTGCTTCAGTTTGGGGCCATTTCCTCTAGTTCTGTCGGTGGCCACCACTGAAAAGAGGCCGGCCCCATCCTCCCCACTCCCTCCCTTGAGGTACTTCTAGACACTGCTCAGGTCCCCTCTCAGCCTTCTCTTCTCCAGCTGAACAGGCCCAGCTCCCCCAGCCTCTCCTCACAGGGCAGATGTTCCAGGCCCCTGATCATCCTTGTGGCCCTGCACTGGACTCTCTCCAGCAGCTCCACATCCTTCTTGTCCTGTGGAGCCCAGAACTGGACACTCAGAATTGGAGTAGGTTGTAGGGAAGATACTGCAGTAGGAAACTGTATTTTTCCCTTTCACGTGCTGTAGCAATGGAGTCTGGCAGGACTGCAGCCTTCATTAGGGGCATTTTGGTGTTGGTCATTCCACATGACGACGTGCAGGTGTTGACAGAGGCAAAGGCCCCTGTCCCTGCAGCCTTCCTAAGCAGGGAGCTCCGGCTGGCACTTAGTGCTGCCTTGGGCTGCTGGAGGGGACTTCTGCTCTACAGCAATAGCCAAGTCTTCTGTGTTTTTATGGAGGCTTCTTCTGTGCCTCCATAAACAGTTTAAACTTTGGACTAAGAATCACTGAAGAAACTGAGGGCTGGCAGAAGAGTGGAGAAAGGAGGAGGGCACCGTTTCCTGGCATCTTATTCTCATTGTTCAAATTACTCTTTTAATTCCCTCTTTCCTCCTGATGGTCATTCCAGGAACTCATACTTGTCGACTGTCGCTTTATCTCAGTCTGGTAAATCCAGTTGCAAATTGTTTGACCTCCTGTGAACTGCAACATAAAATGTCTCCTTTAGTTTTCAGAAATAGTTGAGGAGTTCTGACCCTACAAAGGGTCAAAATTTGCACTGCACTGTGTTAAAATGTCTCCAAATGCAGAGAGGTCTGGCGTGTGCATTTCCAAACTGGGTGTATTTTTTGTGGCTCAGTTGGAGTAGTGCACAGGTTGCACCTGTAATGTGAAAAACAAGTTTGTTGGGGAAGAGAGGAGAGCAGGAAGGTGGCTGATGGGGATTTGCCTGGAATAGAAGTTATTTTTTCTGAAATCCTGATAATGGAAGTGACCATCTGTCCGGGCAGCGTGACTCATCCCGGTGATGGGCTCTGTGCATTAAATCTCTGTCGTTGCAGTCTGTTTTCAGAGAGCATTCCAGGCTTCAGCTGGTGGCCAGGAAAGGTTGGGTGGATTTGCAGACCTTCCCCTTACCGCTTCTAACACTGTTTCCTAGTCCTCTACATTATATTGTACAGCCCCTTGGGTCTAGTGCAACAGTTACCGTGTTCTTTGGAATTGCTTGTTTTTTTCTCAATTCTAGACTGATGACATTGTGCGAAGTTGAAAGATACTGAAATTCATGTTTCTCAGGTACTTGCAGCCAGTGACTTAGCAGTATCTAGCCTTTGGGTTTTGAAATCCAAATTTTGCTTTCAATGGTTTAGCTTCTGTTGCTGCCATCCTTATCTTCCTTCACTTCTCACATACATATGGCATAGTTCAAAAGGGTGCTTTAGTGTCTGCACTTAAATACTTTCCTCTTCATCTCTTGGACCTTAGTGGTTTTTAAGGCATTAAAATTGTTCCTTTCAGATTATTTGATAGTGGGGAAATTGGGAAATGCAGTTCCTTTGTGGTTCAATTGTATTGGCATTTAATGACATTTCACTTATTTTAACCAACCTGAATGTCACTTATGCTCGGCTCTTCTAATTGTGCTTATTGCAGACTGCTTTAATGTCCCTTATGCCAGCTCAGTAATTGAAACCAACAGTATTTAATCGTTATGGTGCAGTTCTGAGTTACACAGCCGAAAAAGTCTCATGCCAATGCAATGCCTGAAGAGTTTCAAGCAGGGCTGAAACAAACTTGCAGGTGTCCTAGAAATCTCAGTTTTAGAAATGAGGCATTTTCTGAGGGGTAGTTAAATTTCCCAGCCCTCACAGAGTGTCTGCTCTGTTTTAAAGAGATCTGACTAATTTGCTGAGGGAATGGAAGGTGTTTAGGTGCATCTGTGTTGTTAGAATTGCTTTTCAACTCTTCAGACTTAACCTCTTCATCATTTTGGTTGTCTGGTGATAAGCAAGATTTAAGTGAAAGATATGCAAAGAGGTGCTTTGCTTCATTAGATCAGCCAGAAGATTCCAATGGGTATTGTCATCCCTGTGACAACACTTTTTAAAATGCATGTAGACAGTTCACCTAACTTCTTTATCCGTGCAATGAAGTTATACAGGTTATATAGTGGAGTTACACAAGCAAAAGCCTTGCCTCTGTTATTCCAGATGGATTTTTGTGAAAATTGTTAATACTTCTGTCTAGTAAGGTCTGGTGAGCAGAGCTGAGTCCAACCATTGGCAAGTTGGTCTTTACAGAGTTAACTGCCTTTTGCTGAGCTTCAAGCAAAGCAGTATTTTATTGGTTTTTAGTGTTTACAGTAGAGGAGGAATGACAAAAATGTTGCTGTGTGACTGTGACCAAGGTAGGGGGTATGTCAGGGCCAAGGCAGAATAATAGACCTGGGTCCCAAGTGGAACTCACTTGTAGTTGTTCCGAGCTACTTCTTAGGGCTCTTGGCAGCCTATGTGGGTCAAGGAAATCCTGACATTGTTCTTAGCTACAGAGGCCCCAGTCAGTCTTGGATCATAAAATTGCAGGTGCTTCTTGATGGCAGCTTGGGTGTTTTATATTTTTCCTTCGTTTAATTCAAATATGAAATACCGCGCGTGTGGTTTAGGTTTTGCTAAGCTTCTGAGCCCAGTCACTGTTTTGGCTTTGCAGACTCTGCCGTGCCTGGTTCGGATGTGCAGCAAGGAGAGGCTGCTGGAGGAGCGCGTGGAGGGCGCAGAGACGCTGGCCTACCTGATCGAGACGGACGTGGAGCTGCAGCGCATCGCCAGCATCACCGACCACCTCATCGCCATGCTCGCCGACTACTTCAAGTACCCCAGCTCTGTGAGTGCAATCACTGATATCAAAAGGGTACGTTTCTCCACCTGCCTCGAAACCTTCACAACTCTGTACAGGCAATGGCACTAACACGTGGCGACTTAAACACCCAGGATGTGTTTCCTACTCTGTTTAAACCTTGAATCCAAGTTGCTCGTCAGAAAGGAGGCAAAGATCCAGCAGGATTGGGTTGCTGATGCACGTAACTCCCAGGTCTTCATGCACTCACTGCTCTTTCTGGAGCTTGTGATATCCAAGCCAAGATCTTCATGTATATGTGCTCTCCCCATCCTGTAAGCAGGATGCTGCTGCTGTTCTCTATGGAACAGACGTGAGCCACGGGTACTTGAACAGAGCTTTTACTGTAGGAATTTCAGACGTTTTCCAGAGATGGCAAGAAAGCACTAGACTGAGACATCTGCCGTGTTTCTCCTTTGCAGAGTTTAGAAGGCTTATCTTCAGGAACCAGTGCATTTCAGCTTCATAGGAGGTAATAGCCCATGTGATGAGAGACTGATTTCAATTCTTAGGTCAGGTTTGTGAAAAAATATAAAGTTCAGAGACCGTTCTGTTTGGTTAATCAGAAAAAACATCTGGATGGTGTGTAGTGTTTCACAACATGAGTTATCTGCACTCGCAAGGAGGCTGGGTGCACAGAAAGCAAACACACCTCAGAGACTGTTACTTCTGTAGGTGTCTCTGACGCAGAGCTTTCCTTTGCAAACCTGTTTTGTTTCCAGGTTTGCATACAGTTTCCAAAGCACCCTTGGATCAGTCAACCTGAGAAGCAAGATTGCTTTGGATATTCCACCTAGGGAAACAGCCATTGCCTATTCCCTTTCCCTGCTACAGTCTGCTGATTTTTCAGAAGTATCCAAAACACTTGCCTTAGAGATTTTGTTTTATTTTGTTTTTTCCCTGAGGTTGCCTAAGGAGCAGACTTGGTCCTCAGTCTCCTGTAGAGTGGGATTGATACTGCCCTTGCAGATGCTTGGAATTCTGTGTAAAAGTGCAACTGAAATATAAAATAGTTAGCCACAGTGTAAAGCTAAATAAGCAGCAGAAAGTCTAGGAGCTGGCAGGGAAGTAATGGGCATTGGCTACAGCAAAATATCATTGGGTTCCAACCACCATAAACATTATGACATTGGTTTGAGTGTTCAGAAAGTCTCTAAAAATAGCCAGTTGCGAAGCCAGGGTGCTTACCTTGGAAGAAATGCATTGAATTGCACCCTATAAGGTAAAAACTAGATGAGAGAGGGCTCTGCAGAACAGATTATAGACTTCCATTTCAAATACTCTCAAGGATGACATAACACATTTTGCTTTAATATAGCTGCACCAAAGAGAGTTACTCAGGCAGCTTAATTTTTGACAGTTCTTTTTATTTCAGCACTTTGCTGCATAATGCTCTCACTTTTCTGGCAAACATTTTGTGTGCAATTTAAGTAACACTTCAGTTTATGGCACCCTTTGGTACAGAGTTTTGAGAGCAGTTAGAATAATTGTGGTCGGAAGGGATATTAGGAGGTCTGAAGTCCTAATCTTCTGTTCAAAGCAGGGTCAGTGCTGGCCTGAGATGAGGTCACTCAAGGCTGCTTTGTCCAGCTAGCTCTTGAAAACTGCTAGAAATGGAGATTTCAACCGATCTGAGTAATCTGTTCCAATATTTGACTCTCCTCCAGGTGATTTTTTTCCTTATATCCAATAATAACCTCTCTTTGATCTGCCTGCTGTCTGTCTGTCTCCTAGCTGCGCATCTCCATACGGAGCTGGGCTTCGTGTTCTCCATAGTCTCATCCGTAGGTACTGGAATTCTGCTCTCAGGGTCCCCCCTCAGCCTTCTCTGTTGGCTGAACAAGCCCAGCTCCTCCCAGGCCGAGTGCTGCAGCCCTCTGCCCGTCTTGGTGACCCTTGGCTGGACTTGAGCAAGTTCATCAGCACCTTTGTGGAGTCTGGGGTGGGGGGAACAGGACACAGGTTTCCAGGTTTGCTCTAATGCATGTCAGGTCAAGGAGAGCAATCTCTTCTTGTGCTGTGCTGGCTGCACTCCTGTTCACCTCCCAGTGAACGTGTGCTAGCCTACAGCTATTGAGAAACAGCCCTTGTAGCTTTTTTCTTTTTTTTTTTCCCCCCCAAGTGTCTAAATTTGATATTTCTGCTTCGTTTAAACAGCTCGACCATGACTTGAAGCACGCTCACGAGCTGCGCCAGGCCGCTTTCAAGCTCTACGCTTCTCTTGGGGCAAATGATGAAGATATCCGAAAAAAGGTGAGTCTGGGAGAAGTGTTCACACTCCTCCCAAGACACAGCTGAAATCCAAACAGAGGTTAATGTAACAATACATAAGAGTAAAGCTGACTTACATGTAAGTACACGCTGTGATGACTGAGCTGGAGTCTTTCAGTGACTTGTATCTTAACGTGTTCTTTCTGCACAGAAGTGTGTGGGATATTGTTATGGCACACGAGTCTTAACGTTTCCAAAGCCTTTCTTGTGAGGCACAGAAAATACCCACGTTGTCCTGTATCCTTCCATAAACCAAACATTGGCTTGGAAATAAACCCTGGAAAGGGAAGTCATCCCGGCAAACAGAATGCTGGTTTGCTCTGTGGCCGTGCAGCACTGCTGGCCTTGGCTGTGCTGTGTTTGAGGGACAAACAACGACCAATCTGGAGGAGACCAAATTCTGCCCAACACGGGGCAGGTGGTTACATTATCTTTCACGCTGATATTAAGTGTCTTTTCTCCTAGTTCTAATTGCTGGGCCTGGCCATGTCTAAATATGGGAGATGAAGTGCTGTGTACTTTGCAGATGGTTTCACAGCAGGCCTCCAATCTGTAGCTTGCATGTACAGTGTGGACTTGTACCAGCTGCCTTTTGTTTTGCCATGGCATTAAGGGTAAAACATTTGTAACTGTCGTCTTCCTTGGTTGATAAAACCATTTTAAAAGCAGTAGTAGAGCACAGCATGTCCATGTTGTTTTCTAAATGATTTGTGGTTGCACACTTTCTGCACTTAATCTGAAGATAATGTGGCTTGATAGTGTTTTACTCGTTGGGCTTTCTATGCAATGTTTAAAATGCACAAGGGGACAAAAACCATATCCCATAAGCGCCTCTACAGTTTTATTCATATAGCATTAATTCCCTTTTTTGTTCCAGATCATTGAGACTGAGAATATGATGGACCGTATCGTTAATGGCTTATCTGAATCTAGTATCAAGGTGCGATTAGCTGCAGTCAGGTAGGAGGCTTTTCTGCTCTGTACAAATAATCGTGTCATGGCAAGGGCTGGTGCTGCACGTGCTGGAGCATCTGCTCATCCTCTCAAAGCTAAAACAGATTTGGAGCCTTTTCCCCTTTGGGAGACTCACTAGGGTAAAAATATCTTGGACTGGTAGAATAGTCTCCCCTTGGTATTTACAGTCTATTAATTATCAAATTCTAAACGGTTTCTCTATATGTAGAAGCAGTGTGTATATTATAGAAGCATGTAAGTGTGTGTTTACGGTGAAAGTTTCTTTTCCATTATAGATGTTTGCACAGTTTGTCCCGTTCTGTACAGCAGCTCAGGACAAGTTTTCAGGATCACGCTGTATGGAAACCTTTAATGAAGGTAAGGGAGAAAAGAAAAAAAAAGTCAAGTCTCTGGTCCTGAAGTTGTCTGGTTAGTTAAAATAGCAACACAAAGGATCCGAGGTCTGTGCGGTCTGAATATCTTCCTGTAGAAGCGTAATAGAAATTACCTAGAAATCCAAGTTCCTGGCTCTTTTCTAGGGGTCATAAATCAAGATGAAGCAGTGGTGAGGAATGCTGTGGTCTCGTCTTGCTGGACACTAGGGGGACTATGTCCTTTTCTTTGGTTTTTAGCTCAGATTAGGTGGCATGGTTCAGTCCTCAGCTATCAGCCGTCTGAGGGATTTCAGATGTACATTTCTTTCCATAATTGTCTACCTTCTAAATCTCACCTTAGCAAGGGAGGTCCTCACCTTAGCAAGTGAGGTCCTCACCTTGGACCTTAGCAAGACTTTTAAAAAAACGCTTTTTATAGAATGCAGTTATTCACAGCGAGATTAAATTGGATCAAAATGTGGAAGTATATAGCATGTCATGTCTTGTGATGTGACTGTCACTAAGTGCAGATAAATAAACCAGTGTCGCAGTTTGAATGTGTTTGAGGCCTTGAAAATGGGGAGCAGGCTGAGTCTGACAGCAAAAAGAAACCTGGGCAATATAGACATATTGCAAAAGACATCAGCAAAAGAATCACCTGAAATGAGCCTGGCTCGTTTTTATTTCAGAATGATCCCTCCCTTATCCTGCTGGCTGATGGATTCCCTGCTCTTCCCTTGCAGGTTTTACAGAATGCTCCAAATGAAATCCTAGTAGTAGCATCTTCCACACTATGCAATCTTCTTCTCGAATTCTCTCCAAGCAAAGAGGTCAGTATTTGCCTGCTGTCTCTTCTGACTTTTGGATAAAAGCTGCATTAAGCACAGAGGTAGCTTAATTGGTAGCCAGTATTTGGGAAGCTTTATAGCTGGAATGCTTGGTAGAATATATATATTTTTTTAAAAAAAAAAGTGTTTACAGTGCTATGAGAGTAAAATGTAGTCACATAATTAAATGTAGTCTCTCAAAATTTCTGCCAAAGGAAATGCAGATTGGTTTTTAATTCTTGTTTAACATGATTATTATGTCTAAAAGACTTGAACAATAAGAAAACAGACTAGTGATTTTCTTGGCAATAGAGTCTGGTGCCTTACAGAATTACTGCTGTAATCTGGAAAATGCTGGCAGGGTTCAGCCTTTTCCTGGATTTATCATTCTTGGATGAATGATGTAGGATGTCTGTTCTGGGATGTCCTTCAGGATGTCTCTGCTTTATGTCAATCATATATATCAATACTCTATAGAAATGGAAACATTTCCTATGTATTAAGTATTCTGCAGCTACAGAACCCATTTGCAAGGTTGTGGTGCGTGTGGTTTCCTATGGGGCAGTTTGCATGACTCTGTTTGACCAGCTGCCCTTACTGCTCTTAGTCCTGTCTGCACAGCAAGCCCTATTTAGTGACCCCATAGGGCCCTTAAAAAGGCCCTCCTGGAGCTGAGTTAAAAGCAGTTTTGGACGGGCTCCTTCCCCTGGCCCTGCGCAGAAGCTTTTCTCATATACTGCTATGTATGAGAAATACATATACTCTTAAATACTGCTGTGTATGAGAAATACATATCCTCTCATATACTGCTGTGGATACTTCAGAAGCTTTTTTTCATATGCTGTGCTCTGGTGCATTTATACTTGGTCTCATTAGCAAATACAATTGCATGTAAAGAACAACATTGAACAGGCTTTGCTGTCCATAGCCTGTTACTTTATTCACATACATCCCACTAGATCCCAAGCAAAATGATTGCTCAGGGGAAGGTGGTGTTTGCAGAGAGGAGTCCCAGCCTGCAGGGCGCTGGGGAGAGCGTGTGCTGTGTCTGTGGCAGACGAGTGCAGGGTCACAGCAGCACGTGTGTGCACGTGCACGTGGACACCGAGGCACACAACCATGCCACGTTGAACTGAGCTTTTCTCCATAAGAACCCACCCTTAAGGGCTCAGAAAGGTAGGGTAAAGCTTGGATGATGCATCTGAACGGGCTGAATAAGTAACACTTTTAATGCGTTTTAGCGTGTTATCCTTATACTTGCATATATGTCTAATTATGCAGTGTTTAATTTTTTTTTCCCTGTTCATTGTAGCCTATATTAGAATCAGGAGCCATAGAACTTCTATGTAGTTTAACACAGAGTGAAAACCTTGCCTTGCGAGTGAATGGCATTTGGGCTTTAATGGTAAGTAAAACACACTGCTGAAATTCTGTTTTTGCTCCTTAATCATCAAGGATGTGTGCTTGTAGGCAGCAGAAGTCTGTGAAGAGAACAGAAGTTTAGGGTCAAGAACTGAGCAAAGGTTTGCTGTGTCTTTCAGAATATGGCATTTCAAGCAGAACAGAAGATCAAATCCGATATCTTGCGAGGTCTGAGTACAGAGCAGTTATTCCAGTTGCTTTCTGATTCGGATGTAAATGTTCTGATGAAAACTTTGGGGCTGCTCAGGAATCTTCTGTCGACTCGCCCGGTAAGTAGAGCTGCAAACGCACAGAGAGTACCCTGGAAAGAGGAACTGGTTGTTAGGACCAACAAGGACAAAGATTTTGGCCAAGAACGCTGCTTATTTTCCTCTTTAAGATTTGCACAAAGCCTCTACAATGGATATGTAATAACATATTGGGGTTTTAGCCTAAAAAGGTCCCTGCAAAAAATCTTTTCATTTTTGTGCTCGCAAAGCTCAGTAAGACTCACAGAAGATTAGCTTGGTCTTAATGTGAAAATACATTTAATAACCAGTCATATCAACTCACCAGGCGTTCCCACAGCCAAGTGAGATATTCACATACGGTGCTGAAGCTTTGCCCCAGCTAAATCTGCTTTTAGTACATTTTATAGCCAGAACCACCCATTTTAATTCTGTGCACCAAACTTACTCCAGAATAACCCATCCAGCAGCGCTTGAATGAAATCTCATTGCTAGCAATTTGTTTTAAAAAGACATTTCTCATAATGTATAACATCTTAAATAATCACCTGATTTCTTATCTTATGATGCTCTCTCAAACAAGACCAGGCTTCAGATGAAGAGGGGTAGTGCAAAGAGTTTCTGCTCTGGTGGATTTGTGTTTTGGGGAGATTTCTGCAGAGGCTGCAGTCTTTGTGCAGCATCGCTGCTCTTTACCTAGAATAATCCAATTTGGAAATCCAGTTCTTTTTCTGGAAAATTACACTGACTATTTCATCATTGCCTTGCAGCACATAGACCATATAATGAGCACTCACGGGAAGCAAATCATGCAAGCAGTGACCCTCATTCTGGAAGGGGAGCACAATATAGAAGTCAAAGAGCAGGTACGTGTTTTGTTCCTTGTTGTCATGGCAGAATGAAACTTGAGGAATATCTGAGACTGCTTACTCTTCTCAGCATGCCTACTTTGCGTAGGATTACATTGTGCTGGGAATATTTTACCAAGAGACCTGTGGATAACAGCTCTAATTCTCCAAGAATGCTTCTTTTTCTGTGCCTATGGAGTGTTGCATAGGCCTAGAAACCGAATTAGGAATGTTTTCAATGGATGTGTGATAAAGATGATGCTGTACAGGACAAGTTTGATATTGCCTTGGAGCAGGGTAGGATACTGGTGACAAAACAGCATGAAAAATGGCTGTAATGGTGTAGCTGAATCTAGACTAGTCTACATCTATGCTCAGTTATTCTTATTTTGTAACAGCAATGACTTTTTTTCCCAGCTAACAACTGTCCAGCCCCAGTTGTGAACTCCTTGGCATTGGCCCGAGTTATAAGAAAGCTATAAACTCCAGTTATTAAAACTAATTAAAGAAATTGTGCAAGCTGTCAGGGAAAGTGCATAATTCGTGGGATACGATCTGTAGCCAAATAGCTAACACTGTTTCTGTCTTTCAGACATTATGTATACTTGCCAATATAGCAGATGGAACTACAGCAAAAGAATTAATTATGACCAATGATGACATCCTGCAGAAAATCAAATATTACATGGTATGGGGAATTTCTCTTATTTTAGTCATTTGTAGCAATGAAATATGCTAGAGAGACTTTTCTCATGTAAATCATGATTCAAAATCGTGCACTTAAACATAACTGGCTACACTAGGGTTAAGAAAGCGGCACTGCGGTTCCATATGGCACTGGTGTGCTGAGGTTGAGGATCTGCTTAAAAAAGAAAACCCACAGTTGTATTGTCAATTAAACAATACTTGTGAAAATCCTATTTGGAAAGCATCTCATGCCCTTAGAAAATGTGCATTTTTGTAGACCTTTCAGTAAATGTTTGGAAGAAATTGAAGTTGTACTCAAGTATTACATTGTCTTTGAGAGAAGCTGTAGATAAGAACTGCTCCTGACTTCACTACCTCACTTATTACAGGATGAATGCCAAAATGTAAGTCTGAGAAATTCCCAACCTTCTCTTCTAAATCTGAGTACTATTTTTCTATATTTAGAGTCATTCAAATGCTAAACTTCAGCTTGCTGCCATGTTCTGCATATCTAATCTCATATGGAATGAAGAAGAAGGTAAGAAAATATAAATGTACAGATAAGTTATTACCCATCTAAAAGTCAATGTTCTGTAGCTATCAGTGTTTGTCTGGGACAACACAGTGGGATCCAAAGCATAAAGGGAGACTTCAGTGTGGGCAGAATATGGATGCAGCAAGTGTGTTGAGGAGGAGAGACGTGGAGGACGGGCTGCCCAACGTGGAGGGCTTGAGTGGGGTGGACGTTAGCAGGAACAGGGAGGACATTGGGGCAGGAGCAGTGGGAGGGCAGGAGCAATGTTTTATTTTTAATGATATCTCCAATATGTAATTTCTCTCTGTAGGCTCACAAGAGCGACAAGATAAACTACGAGACATGGGAATAGTAGATATTCTACATAAATTAAGTCAGTCATCAGATCCAAATCTGTGTGACAAGTGAGTATTTAAAAAAAAATCCAAAAGCAGAATTAGAAGGATTTTTTTTTTTTGCTCATAACAAAGCATCTTTTTAGTAACCTTTTGGTTATTAAATATCTGCATCCCCCAAAAATCTCTTTGCTGTTGCACCGAGTACTACTGTGTGTGCTGAGAAATCGTGATGAATGCTCATTTGAGTATCAGGTCCTGTATTACTTGGGAATTACCTAGGAATTCCTTTCTTTTTGCTTAGGAATAAAAAATCAGGCTTCAGTTCTCAATACGGTAATTCCTGACAGTGGAGAGACCCTGTTCGGTCACTGTTTGGAATCGCTCCCGTGCAGGAGCGGGAACCAACCCCAACAATTCACCCTGTTTTTCCTTCCTTGCAGGGCGAAGACAGCACTCCAGCAGTATCTTGCATGATCAAAGGCTAACTGAATCTATGGACACCCCTCCTGTCTACTTAAGGAAGAGCAGGAAATATTCCTGACTCCTTATATTTGCACAAGTCACCTTGGGCTGCATTTTTCTCAGGTGCAGGGAGCTGCTTTGCAGAAACAGTTTAAATGATCAGGTCTCCAGCGCACTTGAGAACTTTCTTGAGGTAGTTTCTTTACTCAGAGGACTCCTGGGGGGTTGTTTTGGTTTTTTGGATTTTTTTTTTTTCCTGAGCTACCTGGACTCTTGAATAGAACAATCAGTCGTCGTTTTCCTTTGGGCCTACAATTTTCTGCTTTTGCTGCAGCCTGTGTGTGTGGGTGTGCGTGTGTTCGGGTGCGTGCGCGGGTGGACGTGTGTGCGTGTGAGACCTCAATTTTGTTTTTCCTTTTTCTTTTTGAGTGTGAAAATCTTTTTCTACAGGTTTTCAAGGGTTAACCATTGTTTGCTGTACGAATACTTCAATGAATTATATACAGTTTGAATGAAATGTTATTTAAAAAAAAAGAAAAAAACAAACTGTTGTAACCCATAAAGTTTATTTTGAATTTTGAACAGATGAATGTTTTTAAGTAAAATATATGCATTTCTGAATTTCAGCTTAATTTACATTACACTTCGTTTTTAAAGAGGAAAACAGAGGGAGGCAGTAGACCCAGGTTATGAGCAGCAAATCCTGTACCGTGAGGGATGTGAGGGTGAGCATCGAACGCAGGGTCGGCAGGGCCCGAGGACGAGCCCGGCCCGGCCGGGCTGTGTGGGTGTCTGTGCTGTGCGGAGGTGAGGGCTGTATCGAGTTAGCGTGACCGGCCTTTCTGCAAAGGAGCTGCAGGATCAGCAGGGCAAGAGCCTGCTCGGGTCATTGCTGGAGGACTAGCTTCTTTTCTATCTGTTAATTGCTAATATTGATAGAGCAAACAGTATGTTGCAAAATTTATGCTTGCAAGAGACCAGAAGGACCTGACAAGTGGTGATGAAGGGGCCGTTCTGGTTTTGCATCGTTTATGGCCAGGTTAAGTAACTCGCAGAATATTTCCATAGAAGAAATATTTGAGCTGGGTGCAATTAGCTTGGGGAGGGGATGAAAAATCGCTAGAGTTTTGCTCAGTAACGTCCCTACAACTGGTAGGGACTGGTGTATGCACACACATGCACTTGCATGGATTTGGACAGGTGGATAATAGAGATGGGGTTTTACTGGATTCAGAAGCTTAGGGTGTCCAAACCTTGTTCCTAGCTCACATTCCTGAAATTGTGCCTGTAATCATGGAGGAAAAATTGTGGCTACAAATGGGGAAGACTGTGCAAGGTTTGACTAAGGTGCCAGGGAGTCAAATATGCCTAGAAACAAGGGAGAGCAGCGGGGAGCTCTTCCACACAGCGCAGAGTTCTTGCTTTCTTCCCGTGTCGTCTTTTGGATTTCAGTTTAAAGCCTAGTTTTCATAGTCAGAATCTCCAGACACTCTATTTACCTAGCACTAACGGGCACACTAAGTGTTGCAGCCAATGTCTTAAACCCAAATCTTTCTTCTGCAGCAGAAGAAAGGCTGCAGCAAGAAGAGAGGTCTGTTACTTTGCTAACCAATTTTGATAAGTATCTTAACCGTTTCTTGCTAATTCAGAGGGTCAAAGTGTGATAGCCTTACTTTATTTCAAAGGTAACTACTTGTGTCAGAAAATGTGACCACAGTTTGGCCTGGAATTTGAATGTTCTATGTATCAGATAACTGTTATCACTTGGTTGCAAAGGAGAATATATACATTTAATGTAACTTCTTCCAATCTTGAAAGACAAATAAAGGTGAGCACCTGACACTTTTTTCCCCCCAGGCACTGCAGTAAGTGACTGGCCATTTTTTAATGCCCTTCTGCAAGTTTTTTTCATGATGGATTTTTAGGGGCTGAGCAAAAAGGGAAGTGAAAACGAGTGAGGACTTGATAAATATCAGTACCTCAGAAGTGAAGTCTTGTAAAATTCGATCAACTCAACTTTTACTTGGCCTGAGGAAAGGCTTCTGGGGCAGGTAGCAGAGGAGTAAAGCTGCCTTACAGCCTGCGCCTGGCTTCTAAACTCGCGCTCCGGCCATGGACTCAGGAGTTCCAGTTCTTACATGTCTCTTCTGCCGCCTCCTTCCCGATTCACATTTCTGAAATGAGTCACAATTTGATCGTATAAAACTTTTGTGCCTAAAGTACTCAGAGAAAGGTGAGTAAATTCCTATATACTTGTTTTGAGGTTGTTTCTCCAAAATCTATGGGGAAAAAAAATAAAAACAATGCTCAGACAATCTGTTTGCTGCATGGGAATAGCTGACGTTCTCCACGGACAGCCTGGATGAGAGCATTTTTACATTCAGTGAAGCTTTGTGAATAATTTTTGATGTTGCTATAGGTATGTGCAAAAAAGAAGAAAGCGAATACTGTAAATAAAAAGAACTTTACCAGAACATCTAGGTTTTACTGAACTTCACGGAGATATTTTTTGTGTCACCATCTGTAGAGACTGAGTTTCTCATCTGAGATCTGCGGTGGGAGCAGTCGTCTTTGCTGTCTGATCAAATCTTTGAGCTTTACTTGGGTAGAGGCATCTTGGGACTTCAGAACAAAAGCAAATACGACTTGTCTGGACCAGGATACAAGATCCTATCAGGATTTCTCCTGTTCTTGCACCATTTCTCTTTTTGCAAACCAATGATAATCTGTTTTGGTAATTGGCTCCTCCCTTTATCTCTAATTAGAGGGGTCAGTAATGAGTCTTTCTATCACAGGTTACACATGTGCAGACGAGATCAGTTTGGCTGCAGAGAGCTGGTGCACTGGTTGCTCACCCCTGTCTGCATCTAGTGTCGTTTCTCCCTCTCAACCATGATTTAGGATTTAGCTGTTTTTCTGACCATGGATCCACATCACAGAGCGAAAGAAACTCTGAGCTGCCCAAAAGCATCTTGTGTCAATATTTAGATTCTGTAGCCACTTATTCATAGCTGCTTATGGTGCTTCGCAGCCTGTTGAAGCTCTAGTCCTGAGGCTAAAGCTTGAGCCCTCTAGTAGATGCTGCGGCTCAGAAATGCTGCCGAAGGGGTGAAGCGGACGAATAAGCAGGGGGCAGAGGTAGTGCTGGAAGAAACACGAATGGGATTCCTCAGCAATCCTGAAATATGGGAGCACATGGTGGGTGTGAACACACACAAGGTGAGTTACAGTCAAAAGCACCAGAGCTTCCCTGAAGGCCCCTCTTTACAAAGCACCAGCTGTTGTAGCTTTTGATTTAATTTCTGTGCATGTGCAGGGGTTTTAGCATGAGCTCCCTCCGTTGCACAGCAAGCAGGTAGAGACAGGGGAGTTGAAATCCTGAGTACGCCGTGGAGAGGACGGACAGGGAGCCGTAGCTGAGGCCTCCCTGCAGCAGCCGAAAGCAAGCGGGGCCGGCACCAGGGAGCCGATCCGCGAGCCGAGGAGAGGGATGGGGGCAGGAAGGTAAATGCTGGTGAGCGCCGAGCGGTGCTGTCGGGAAAAGGATTTCGAGGTTTCCCAAGGTGGAGCTTCCCTGCTCCCAGCGGCGGCTCTGCTGCTCCTGGGGGTGCCGGGCAGCCCAGGCAGGTCCTTGGCACCCCGGGCAAGGAGCAGCCCCCGCGTCAGCACCGGGCACAGGCCCCGCCGGCCCCCGGGCTGGCAGCGCTGCCCAAAGGCCCTGCTGGAGGCTTGCTGCCGCTGCCGAATGGCTGCCAGGAGGAAGGAGCTGGTGCTGCAGGTCAGTAGCGACCGGCCGTGGTAGAAGCGTCTTTTAAAACATCTTGCAAGCTTACGGCAAGCACAAGGAAACTCAGTCCTGGGGTGTCTCGGCTGGCCAAGCTCTGCTGGGAGGTCCCACTGCTGGAAAAACATTTCTGAGGGCAGGTGCGAGGAGCTGGCAAGTCAAACTGTTCCCAGAGCAAGGTTTGCTCCAGCTCAGAACAGGGGCAGCAGTTTGCTGCTTGGCTGCGGTTTGATCTCGAGGATGCTACATCCTAGGGTCAGATTCCTGCTTTCCGCAATCAAAATGCACCCGTGTTTCTCAAGAGATGCGTTCAGAGGATGTTTAGATACAGCAGACTGGGTGCTCGCCCCTGAGTATTGGGTGACTGTTATGGGACATACCTGGCAAGGTCAAATGCTTAAAGATCACTGGGCAGTTGGAGAAAGCTTGAGATATGAGAGCGATTCAAAGGCTGAAAGTCTTATTTCACAGGGAGATGCAGAGGGATTTTTCACTGAGGTGACTTGATAACTATCCGCATCAGGGAAGGGTTTGTGAGGGCAGTTCAGTAAGCAAAAAAAAAAAAAAAAAAGAGAGGTTAAACACATTGAAAATGAGATGCAAGCACTAAGCTGGCAGGGTCAATAAGCAGAAGGAAAAAAAGCCAAATTAGGTCATGAAGGTTTGCACCCAATTTTGAAGAAAGTTCCGTCTTTTCAAGAGAGAAAAATACTGAAGACAATTCTTGAGCCTATAACCCTGCGAAATTTGTAAAGCACGGGGTGAAAAAGGGGAAAGTTTGTGCAGAATGAGAAAGACGGTCCCTTTGTGAAGGTAGAAATGCTGCTCCGCTGCTGCACGTCCCACTGTGCCCCTGTTTGATGGAAAGGTCACTTGGAGCAGAATTTGCACTTGCAGCTCAGTGTGCACCCGGTGTTTGAGAACTGCAAAAAGGTGACGTTTCCAGGCGCAGATGAAAGCGGCGCCTCATGTGGGAGGCAAAGTGACGTCCTAGAAAATTTCTGGGAATGCCAGAGTCAAGCCAGGTCTCTCAGCTGCCTCTGGGCATCCACGTTAGCAAAGCACTTTGAAGAGTGTTGGTGTTACTTCGAGCCCATGGGTTGGGCGTACAGCTGAACCCGTTATCACGAAAGATCATCATAAATCACTTGAACTCATTAACCTTCTGTGAAACACTCCTTGGGTGGTCCTGGCACTAGGATTACCTCAAATAACTGAACTTCTACTTGTGCAGGTGTTCTCTAAAATAAATAAATAAATAAATAAATAAGAGGTTTGGGGTCACATGCCGAACAACAAAACAGATGGGGGTGTTTGAGTCAATCCCTGCTCTCTGAATGAGGCAGGAGCCTGGAGGAGGGCTCCTGTATGATCTGCAGGACGTTTCTGAAAGAGGAGCTGTAGGCTTGAGCCTTGCTGGAGCCAGTCCTCCAGGGATGCTCTGTCTAGCTCTAGTTAATGATATCTTCACTCTTCGGGAGGAAACAAATGGATCTTAATTTTGGGGGGAGCCTTTTGTTAATCTGGGTTTTCTAAGTGCATGCTGAGGGTGAATGACGTCCTCCTCGCTGCTGCTGCTGAGCATGTGGTGGGAGGAAGCCCTTGGGAACAGCCATGCTGCGGCTGCCCGTGTGTCCTCCAAGTCCACAATGCCATGATCCAGCAGCCTGGGGAGAACCTGTTGCCTGCCAGCAGCTCCTATAGCTTCTGCCTGCCACCAGAAGGAGTCCTGTTGCTGCAGGAGGGCTCCAGGAGGAACCCGAGGCTGGATGGGCCTTCGCAGGTTCAGCTCCCTGAGCCCAGCTCTACGCACGTTTCTTTGTAGCAGTCACATAACCTGATGACTCACTGTTGCTCTTACTGTGTTTTTAAATTTTCATGCAGATGAACATCAACACTCAGGAGCTCTGGGAAGAAATGCTGTGTCTCAGAGGACTCATTGGTAAGGGCTGGGCCCACACAGATTGCTTTTGACCAACGTTAAGGGGACTGCAGCACAGTCAGGAATTGGTCACTGCCGATACGGAGGTTGATTCGCTATTTCCTTGCCATGCTCTAAACACACCTGCAGGGACAGAGCCTCAAGGGGTTCAAGCTGGACATTAGGAAACCTCCTTCACAGAAGGGTTTTGCGGCCCTGGCTCTATAAAACACAGGTCTCCAGGGAGAGGGATCTCCATCCTGAAAAGTTTTCAGGATCCTTTTCACAAACTTTTACAGAATCACAGACCCTTTGAGGCTGGAGGGGACCTCTAGAGACCATCTAGTCCAACTCCCTTTCCCGCACTGACAGCCCTTTGCAGCCCCCTTCCAAATGAGTACGTTGCAAAGCGGAAAAGCGCACAAACCAACTCCTTGGCGTATAGCGTGTAAACTGATTTTAAGACTGTTCATTTTTGCAGTTGTTGATGCATTTCAAGCCTGGTGTGGTCCATGCAAAACAGTAGTGGATCTTTTCCGAAAAATAAGGAATGAAGTTGGCAGAGACTTCCTGCATTTCGCAGTGGTAAGATAAAATGTGCTAAATAGCTAGTCCCCTCATACTAGCAGGTTACTTAGGGTTGAAGGCATCTATGCTTGCTATACGGAGCCAAAATGGTAACAAATCAGACTTTCAATTGCCAAACCATCAGGTGAATGAAGCCAACCACACCTGATAGTTCTTAATGCTATTTCCTATGTATATATGCTCCTCTGGAGCAGAAATGGTTTTCTGGAAATCTTTTTTACTTGGAAATCTTCCATTCCTTTTAGGCTGAGGTGGATTCCATTGATGCTCTGGAAGAGTACAGAGGAAAATGTGAGCCAGTCTTCCTGTTTTACACAGTGAGTGGAAATATTTTTGCAGTAGTCGCAGAGCTTTATTATATATTCATATACCTTCTCTTTATTAATAAATATACGTTCAAGAGAGACTGAAGATGTACTATAGGGATGAAGTAAAACAATTTAGGGTAACTGCACAGGAGGATTAAAAGCAGCAGAAGGCACAAAGTTACAGGAAGACTTTCTCTAGCTAGAGGCTGGCAAATTGATCTGGGTCTTTTTTTGGTTGGTTGGATGGATGGTTTTTTGTCTGTGGGGAGGTTTGTGCATCCTGTGATGGAGGGCTGTTTCTTGGGCCTTTTTCCCTGAGAAAATGTCCTAGTTGTGAAAATCCATGACTTCCACGCAGGGATCCCTGTGATATAGTGGAACACAGAGGTGCCCACAGGCTCTTGTGAGCAGTGGGTCCGTGCGAGGAGTGTTCACACCACGTGGGCAAGACCTTGGGTCTTTTGCTCTTTATACAGTAGGCATAATGCCACATGCAGTGGCACTGCGTGCTCCTCTGGCAATTTGGAATGTCCCACCCGAGAACGCAGTGACTGATTGTGTTTCTTAACTTTCAGGGAGGCCAGTTAGTTGCTGTTGTACGAGGAGCAAACGCACCCTTGCTGCAGAAAACCATCCTGGAGCAGCTGGCGGCAGAAAAGAAGGTGTTGGAGCACGGAGGAGAGCGTGGGGTGGCAGCCAGGCACTGACCTCCCGCTGCCATAGGGGCGCGTGCCCGAGGAGAGGCTCGGTGCCCCGTGCCATCACATATCTAGAGCAGGTTAATCCCCTGCAGGAATTCTGTCCTTCCACCTGGGGGACTCTCACGAACCAGCTAAGTCTACACAGAGCCCCCAGTCCTACTGAAAAAAAAATAAAAGGAGATGTTTGTGTTCTCCAAAACCCCTCTGTCCCCTGGGAAAGAGGAAGAGAAGCATGTGGTATCTTGCTCTGCTGGATGAGGATCAACACGGCTGGAGCAACGCGTGTCTGTCTTACCCGCAGCTCCAGGGACCTGCTGCCAGCATGTTTCTGAAATACTGTTTCCCTGTGAA